GTACTCACCATCAAATTGGTATTAATGGATCAATACTTAAGTGCACATATAAGAATAACATTTATTGGATGTTGGGCAGGGGGAAGGGGGAGGGCGGAGGAGGGGACGGGCATATGCACATACAATGAGTGCGATGCGCACCACCCGGGGGAGGGACATGCTGGAAGCTCGGACTTGGGGGGGAGGAGGGGCAAGGACAACATACGTAACCTAAACATCTGTACCCCCATAATATGCTGAAATAAAAAAATAAATAAATTAAAAAAAAAAAAAAAAGAAAGTCACTGTTTTCAGAACAATTAGGACATAACAAACCACTATGGGAATCTGGGAAGATGTTAACGAATCTTATTTCAAGGCCATTTAATCAATGCACAGTTCTGAAGCCCCTGCTATGAAGTACACAGCCAGCATCGACCTGGGGGCCAGGAACGTGGGCTGCCACCATTCACATTCAACAGTGAGGTCCTTAACGTTGACTCTGGGCCCCACACTGGAGAAAGTTAGATGCTGCTGCTGCTGCAAGACAGCAAACAGGTAGACAAATAACCAGGACAAATGCAGGTGGTGCTAATTGCTATGAAGGAAGCGACAATCTGCCATGACAGACTGAATGGTGCAGAGTGGGAGCTGGGGTGCTACATGAGATGGGGTGACCAAGAAGGGACTCTTTGAGGGGGTGACATTTCAGCTGATACCTAGAAAGTGAGAATGAGCCAGGCTTTCAAGGTGGTGGACAGGGTGTTTCAGGCAGAGACTAGCAGGTCCAAAGGGCTTGAGGAGAGACCCAGGTTGGCAGACCCTGGGAACCGAAAGCCTGTCTGCAGTGAGTGCTGGCCAGAGGAATGCACAAAGAACTTGGAGAGGGGGGCAGGAATTCAAATTTTATTCTAAGTGGGAATGGACACTATTGGAGGATTTTGAGCGGGAGAGTGACAAGATCTGCTGAACATTTTAAAAAGATCAGTCTGGCTCTTGTGTTGAGAATGGACTGTAGTAACAGTGGAAGCAGAGAGACCTGGGAGGAGGCTGCTGCCAGCAGGGAGCTGGGGTTAGTCAAGTAAGACGGGAAAGCACTTGCAGTTTATAAAGTGGTGTCGAAACGTTAACAGCTATTATAATACTAGTTCTTTCTGATTTGCGTGTTCATGTCTGCTTCAAAAATGCATATAAATACAATTCTACTGTATTTGGGGGGAGTTTTGTAGAGGAAATGTTTAATTCCTGATCCCTTTTATTAACTGGTGGCCACAGTCAAGCTATTTCACCTCATTTTTCTCACTGTAAAGTGGAATAAGAATACATATCTGATTAAAGACGTTGTGAGGCTTCAATGGAATGATCTGTGAACAGGATTTAGCCCAGTGCCTCTTGGCTCAATTAGTGCTCAATCAGTGCTCAATCCTATTAGCTACTTTTTATTATCATTAATCTCTCTGATCTTCATTTTTCTCTTCAATAAAACAAGGACACCAAAAACTACTTTGTAAAGAACTTAACAGGATAATATATGCAAAACTCTAGTCCAACAACACATGACATCCAGTAGAAACTCAGTACGTAGGAGTATCTAAATGACAGAATATCACAGCTAGGGCACAGGCAATTATGGCAAAAACAGACAACTGGGATCTCATCAAGCTAAAAACCTTCTGCACAGCAAAGGAAACAATCAACGAGGTGAAGAGACAACCCAACAAATGGGAGAAAAATATTTGCAATTATACATCTGACGAAGGATTAATAAACAGAATATAAAAGGAGCTCAAACAACTCAATAGTGGAAAAAAAAAAAACCTACTAAAAATGGGCTAAAGATCCAAACAAACATTTTGCAAAAGATGACATACAAATGGCCAATTGGTATATGAAAAAACGCTGAACATCACTAATCATCAGAGAAATGCAAACCAAAAATCACAGTGCAATATATCCTCTCACTCCAGTTAAAATGGCTTGTATCAAAAATACAGGCAATAACGAATGCTGGTGAGGATGTGGGGCAAGGGAGACTCTTGTACACTGTTGGTGGGAATGTACTAACGTACATTAGTAGCTAATGCACAGCCACTATGGAGAACAGTAAGGAGGTTCCTCAAAAAACTAAAAGTAAAACTAGCACATGACCCAGCATCCCACCGCTCAGTAATGTACTCGAAAGAAAGCAAATCAACATATCAAAAAGATACCACCAGCACCCCCATGTTTATTGCAGCACTATTCACAACAGCCAAAATACAGAATCAACCTAAGTGCCCATCAACAGATGAATGGATAAAGAAAATGTGGTGTATAAACCCAATGGAATATTATTCAGCCATAAAAAGAATGAAATCCTATTGTTTGAAGCAGCATGGATAGAACTGGAAGGCATTGTGTTAAGTGAAACAAGCCAGGCACAGAAAGACAAATCTCACCTGTTCTCACTCATACGTGGGAGCTAAAAAGGTAGATTTTATGCAGATAGAGAGTAGATTGGTGGTTACCAGAGGCCAGGAAGGCCACCAGCGGAGAGGGGATGAAGGAAAATGTATATAAATGTGTTTATTACCCCTGAACTGTACACTTAAAAATGGTAAAGATGGTAAATTATATATGTATATTTCACCTCAATAAAAAATAAATTAAAAATAAATAAGTAAATAAGCTAATAGAAACCAGAAAGAAAAGACCACAAATACACACATAAAAGAATATCATAGCTAGGAACACCAGTGATGTCACTGTAACTGCTGTTACGAGTAATGAAGACATGGTTGACACTTTATACGTCAGATCTACAACTACACTCTTAGGACATAAAACAAAATTCCTCTCCAGTAAATTACATGTACTCTACTGAATACCATAGTTAATATACCCTCCTTCCCTGCATACAAGAATAAACACCCCTTTACCCTCATCAGAAGCCAGTCTGTCACTGTGTGTTTGCATGGACAGAAAATATACATGTTTCAGACATCTCCGTTTTGAGTAGCGCCTGCTACTTCCTGGGGTTTCCACTGCTGAATTCAAAACCTACAATTATCATCAAGGATGAAAGCAAAACAAAGCCAAGATGAAAACGATGAGCAGAGTACAGACTGGAGAAGACAGCCTAAATCACTGAACTCTATGTCTAATTCAGTAAAATGGAAAGACACTCCCTAGCAAATGGCCAAAAATTCCAGAAAACAAGGATTACATCTCTATTCTTTAGGTGATTAATAAAGGGCCTTCATCTGGGGGGGAACTCAAATGCATTTCATTGGACAAATGGATGGATGAATGAACATGTATCAAATAACTTCCCAATTATACATAGGGTGTCAACCGAGACCACTATTCAAACTTATCATCCTTCCTGCTTCTTCAGAGAGTCCCTTCCCGTGGTCTCATGCAATATCCTGAGAGTTGAATAGATGTTCTCCTCAGTCGGTGGTTACCAGAGGCTGGGAAGGGGAGTGGGGGTGGGGGAGGTGATGAAGGAAAAAAATAAATGTATTCATATTTTATATTTTAAATAAAAAATACATTTATTTATTTTCAATAAAAAATACATATTTTTCCTTCATCACCTCCATCTGCCCTCAGTTGGGGAAGATGAAAAGTTCTGGAGATGGGGAGATGCAAGGATGAGGGGCAGCCTAGGCTAGCAAGGAGGAGCTGAACTGGGAGTCGGGAAATTACATGATTCTCAGTAAAGGATATAATGAATAGAAGCTATTTGTAATTATTCTTTTTTTTTTTTTGAGACAGAGTCTCGCTCTGTTGCCTGGGCTAGAGTGCCGTGGCATCAGCCTAGCTCACAGCGACCTCAAACTCCTGGGCTCAAGCATCCTCCTGCCTCAGCCTCCCGAGTAGCTGGGACTACAGGAATGCGTGCCACCATGCCCAGCTAATTTTTTCTTATATTTTTAGTTGTTTGGCCAATTTCTTTCTATTTTTAGTAGAGACGGGGTCTCGCTCTTGCTCAGGCTGGTCTCGAACTCCTGATCTTGAGTGATCCACCTGCCTCGGCCTCCCAGAGTGCCAGGATTATAGGCGTGAGCCACCGCACCGGGCCTATGGTGCCGTTTTTTATCTCAAGAGCTCCACTTGCAGCCTCCTGACTTCCTGAATTCCTGCTTAGGGCACAGGTTGCAGCGCCCCTGGCAGGTTGGTGCTGGAGGTTTCTGTGGTGTCCTGGAATTCATTTCTGGACACCCACCAGTGGTTCACTTCTCTCACCCTTCCAGAAGATTCTGTAAGCATTCAGTTTCTGATGTTGCAGCCCTTTCTACTTAAAACACCTACAATGGTTTCTAGTTCCTGCAATAAGCCTGAGTGATAAAATTACATATTAAAAATTTATATAAATATAAAAAATGAAAATCATCACAAAAAAAATTCTCAAAAAATATTTCTTGAGCAGTGTACCACAATAGATGCTTGGTCTTTTAAAAAACTTATCTTGGTAAATCATCAAATATTTAATGAGTATCTGTGGACTTAAAAATAGATGAGGTAATTTAATAAATTATCCTGTCAGATTAGAAATAAATGTCTGTGTGCATGTGTGAAAGGTTTTGTGTGTGTGTGTGTGTGGGCATATGTGTGTATAAAGAGACAAATACAATTCGTGTTTCCAATAATCTTAGGAGCAGAAGACAAATATTTCTTATTCTTTATTTTTATTTAACTCAAAATAGCTAATAACATAAAAACATTTTAAAAATATCTCCAAAGTTTGACTAGTCAGTTAATTTTGGTTGATGACACTTGATTATTTAGTTCTTGCTTGTTTCCAGCATGTATCAATAGCAACAGAATCTAACATAAAACATATCTTTAACAGTTTGCAGTAGGCTTTAAATCTTTATATTGAGACCCTAATCAAAAACCATGACATAGTTCTCAGTTTTGATTTTAAATATTTTTCTCCCACACAGAAACTTATTAAAACTAATAACCATAAATAGGCTAGTTATTAATTGGTTTTCAATGAAATGTCCACATACAGCACATACATACAGGCAGTATATATGCGTTTACCCTTTACTATTCAAAATATGCATGTCTGTCTGATGTACAGTGGAGTTACATCATAAAGGTATTTAACTTACATTAACTAAATGCATGAGGTCAGGAAAAAGGGACCCGTGAGGAAAGCAACACGCGCTCCTGTGGCGACGCTGCCTGTTGATGAATGCAGGCCTTGGGTGGAACCCAGACGCGTGCGTCCACCTGCCGGCCCCTCGCTCGCCGTCAGTCCATGTCTTCCTCCCGCAGGGCAGGCATCTTGCAGGGCCGAGCGTGATTCTAGTGTTCACAGCTATGTGCTTTCCATACAGCATGGCCCCTAAACACCGACGGCTTCATCTGGTCTTCAGATGAAGAAACGCTCTTTTCTTCCAACACTGGAGTAAAAACTGGTCGAGGTGGGCACGCAGATTTCCAATATGACGCCTTTCTAAAGGCTTTCAAGAACCATCCTAATAGCCCACTTTACCTTCTGTGCTGATGGTAGAAGCTAACCCCTGGTATGACGCAACCCCACTGCCATGTAAATTAAAATGCCATCATATTATCATTATAATTTAATTTCCAGTTTAGTTCCTTCCTCACATTGAGCATGGTGTGTTTCTGTGACAGTCTCCTGGTGCCAGTGCTGGCTGAGAAAACCTCCTGGTGAGAAGATCAGTGTGTCATAGGATCTGAACAAAAAAGCTACCGAAGTCCATCAGTCTCAGTATGATTCAGGATATGACTTTCAATTAGCAAATGGTGTGACTGAAGCAGAGGGTGACTTTGTTTTGCTAGGCCCAGCGCTCCCAGGAATCTACTGTGGCCTCCTTTCCATGGGTTTCTACTTCTTAAACACTTGGCCTTAATCTGACCACTGCCCTGGTTTAGTTTCTATTTTTAAAAGCACCATTCTAATGTAAAGGTCCCTGCCCTGAATTAAGCTGGGACTGTGAATTTTACCACTAGCTAGAGCTGTTATGCCATAGAGTTTAGGTTAATTTGGTACGTATCGATTTCCTTGGCCGTGACTTCTAAACTTGCTTCAGCTTCTTGTAGCCATGTAGGATTTCTACCTGGGCTGTAGATGAGGGTAAAATATCCCGTGGAGAACTCCCTCAATAACCACATTTGGAAAATCTGAAAAACAAAAGGAAAAACTGCTTTTCTTATGCACCACAATAAAATATAACTGCATTTTGTAGAACTCGGCAAGGCCAGGCCCATGGTAGCACGCAGGAATCTGCAGCGCTGTGCCGTCTGCCCTGTCGAGGAGGAGCTATCCGTCACGCTGCTCCAGCCTCCCGCCACTCGAGCACACCAGCAGGCGCGGCAGGAATGCGCGGCCAGATTTGTAGCTTATTGATTTAAGGGATGTTCTAATGGTTAATGCTGCTGGGCCCCAGCTCTTTATCTGAATGTTTTCTCACAAGGAAGATGGATTACACTGGCAATTCAATTTCTAACAAAATCTCAATATACTTGAAGGAATTCCAAGATTTCTACTGGGAATACTTCGCTGCAGTTTTTCCATCGTGCTTTACAGCGGCGTTTAGTCCAAGTTGTCCTGAGCATGCTTGTCCTATTATACCAGCTTCTGGAGAGCAGTGAGATGGGGGCCTGTCTTCCGAACTTAAAGGGCAAATTTCTGACAAAAGCCATCCTGCCAAACTCGAACAATCAGCTACATTATTACAGGAGATAAAAAGGAAGCCCAGAGGTGCTGAGTATTTTGTACCACATTCCAGTTATGGAAGCAAGTAAATAAGAATGGGGGACTTGGATGGGAGAACCAATCTGTCTCATGGTTCAGAAGTTTGGTTTCTACACTTCAATCTGTACATAATTATATCTAGGAATTTTTATGCTAGAGCTGAGCATTTTAAATAAATACAGTTATCATATAAGAAAAGTAAGTGGTCCAACATTTTAAGAACAAAGTAACATGTCCGTCCAGGCCCTGTAGAGCACCTACTATGTAAAACCACTAGAAGAGGGTCAGGCCTCAGGGAAGGCAGGAAGGCTCCAGCTGGCGCAGGCAGAGGGAGCTAACTAGCCGGAAGCCTGCGGCAGGAGGGAGCCTGCAGGGTTCAGAGACCTAAACAGAGGCCAGTGTAGCAAGAGGAGGCTGAGTGACGGGTGCGAAGTCACGCCTGAGAAGAATGGACAGGAATTCTGGCTTTATCTAAAATGCAATGAGAAGCTATCGAGGGATTTTAAAGCAGAGTGAGACAGGAAGGAATTGTGTTCCGAAAAGATGATGCTGGCTGTCGGCTGCAGAACGGACTGGACCAAGTTCAACGTGGACACAGGAGATCAGTTCAGAGTCCACAGCAGCAGTTCAAGAGGGAGACCGGCGGCCCATGCAAGATTGTGATGGCAGGAGGGAGGAAGTTCGAGGGCTTTTCCAGAAAGGAAGGACGTGACCTGGTGACAGATCAGATGCGGCCAGTGAGGGAAAAAGCAAAGTCAGGGGAGCCTGCTGGGTTTCCGGCTTCACCACCAGGAGAAGGGGCGGAATGGGAGTGAAAGCAAAGATGGTCGATGCGGTGTGGGACTTGTTGGGTTTGACGCACCCTCAAGACTCTCTGAAGGGGAAGCAAGTAAGTAGCAGGATACAGTGACAAGTCTCCCTCCAACAGTTACGGAGAGGCCTCTGTGTCCTAGATCAGCCACTTAAAAACTGTGTGACCTTAGGTGAGTTATTTAACTTCTCTGTGCCTCCCTCTCCTCAGCTGGGAAATGGATCCCATAATCGTACCCACCTTAGAGGTTACTGTAACGATTGATGAGTGAAACCAAGTGCTCAGACCTGGGCGTGGCACACAGTAAGAACCAGCTATGATTACATAGCAAATACTGGAAATACAAGTAAATAACTGTCCTGGCCCATGCCAGGGAACATGTCATATGCCAGCCGGGGAGACGAGCAGATGAACAAAGTATGTTTTAAAAATAACTCTAATACACGAGTATACAGTTACTTTTGGTTGCTGACATTTGATTTCTTAGTGTATGCCTTTCCCCAGCATGAAGTAACATAGTTTCTCATAAAACATATCTTTAAAAGCATGTAATAGGTCTCACACCTGCATATTTCAAATCCAATCAAAAACAATGATTTGGAGAAGTTAATTTTAATTTCAAATGTATTTCTCCCACATAGAAGCATATTAAAATCAATAGCCATGAATAGAGCTGTTGATTAATTTTCAATAAAATACCCAATAGGACACATTACATGCAAGGAGCACACATGCCTTTATCCTTTGCCATCCAAAATACAAAAGTCTATTTGAAGGTCAGTGAAATTACATCATAAGCATATTTAGCTTAAATGGATTTGATGAAATAAGTTCAGCAAAAAAGGACAAAAAGGAAAATAACATTAAATACTGTGGGTAATTCTACAGCACTGGTAATATGTCAAGTGGTGACAAGAGAAGGGCAAGGAGAAAAATGCAGGGCATAGGGCCAGGGCGGGCCAGGGTGGGCCAGCGAGGAACAGCCCCTGTGAAGGTGCGTCTGGGCAGAGACTTGAACGCAGTGACGTCGCAGATGACCGCGAGAAGGGTGCTCCCAGCAGAGGGAACAGCAAGTGCTAAGGCCCTGAATTTATTGTCTGTCAAGGGCTGAGCATATGCTGGACGCTGGGGATTTAGAGGGTAAATATGAGAGAGCGGGGGGGAGGGAGGGAGAGAGAGAACAAAGACAAGATAGTTTGTGACCATTCCTATGAAGGGAGCACACAGGATGTTCCAACAAAAAGTGAACGGGACGGAGGTGTCTCGTAACCAGCTAGGGATCAACAATAAGACGAGCAAGGCTCTGGGCTCTTCTCCTCATCGTTTCCATTCCACTTTAAACTTTGGATCTTGGCCTCATTATATGCGTGCTTTTACACAACGTCCATTACTGTTTTAATTACTCAGGAAACTGTCCTTGCCTTTGGTTCCCACTAAGAGGTGGTGAGAAGGAATGCGACGCAGGGCAGGCTTTGTTGTTATTTTTGCTGGTTTCCATTTATTTAACAAACATCCACTGTGAACGGGTGGAGAGGCTCACGGAGCCCACCTGATAAGGCTCTCGAAGGCCGCGGCCTGCAGCAGGAGACCCGGCAGGGCAGAGAGCCACCGTGAGTGGCAACAAGGCGGTTCCAGGTGGGGAAACAGCAGGTGCCCCAGGGTTGAGGGGGGAGAGGTTAGCACACCCGAGGCCCAGAGGAATTCCAGTGTGGCTGGGGCAATGTGTGTGGAGTCCCAGTTGAAACGGGAGCCCGGGGCTGGCCACAGAGGGATTTGGAAATGACAGTAAAAGTCTGGGGCTCGCAGGGGAGGGTTGGGATGGAAATACAACATTGCGACTTGGCTGTATCCCGGGGCAGTCACAGCCATGAACAGGGAAGAGACTGTTGGAAAGGAACAGTGAGAAGAGGAGAGGGTTTTTGAGAGCCTTGAGGGAGCTGCCAGAGATTGGAAGAAAAGTGAGAAAGCCAAGGGGAGACAGTGTTTGAAGGAGGGGAAAGTGGTCAACATGTCTAAAGCTGGTGAGAGGCCAAGGGAGATGAGGACGGAAAAATGTCCATAGGGTTTGGCCACACTGAAGTCACTAAGGACACTGGCAAGAGTTGTTTCGAATTTCCCAGAAAAATCAGAACAAAGACCAAAAAGCATACGCTTTTCAATCTGTTAAGAGAGTACTCTCCTGATTTCTGATATTAAAAGCTAAGAGGATAATGTTCGATTATTAGCATTTTACAAGAGGATGATGTTCAATTGTCAGATCTTTAAAGACAAACACTCCTCTGACTTTGTGAGGGGCAGTATATCCGCGAAGATATTTCCATATTCAGTATTCTCTGGAATAATAACTTCAACATCATCTTAGGAGGCTTCATAACACAAAAATGTGATACAAGTAAAGTTTCTCATTAAATTAAATGTTAAAGATTTGCAAGAATATATCATTAGTGTAACACTTCTAAGATGACAGGAATCTGATTCATGAAACTGGGTTGGTCAAAATTCCAACAAAATAGATATGGCGACTGGCCCTCCCATACCTGTTCCATCCTACCCATCAAACCCATGTTCCCCTTTACTCTCAAACAGGAATCCCCTTATTTTGCAAGTCTTCATCCACACTCCATGCTACCAATGAACGATACCTACTCTTACCCTTTCTAACTCAAGACATTTACTTCTGATATTCCTTCCCAGAAAGTTCCTCCTGTTCATTGCTGCAAGCCAGGTGCAGAGCACACAGTAGGGGCTGCTCAATAAGCTGGGGGAATTGGATTTAAGGTGACAAAATATCTTCCCTCTTCCATCAAGTATACTGGCTGTTCTCGTCTACGGTGATCACGGCACTGTCTATACTTCTGCAGGAATTTGAATCGGATGCATTAAGTATCTCCATTTTTAAAAGATAATACTTTATAAAACACTGCCTATTTAATCTAGACCAGGTTGCATCATGAATATTTGTTAAATATAACATTTTAACATAACATCAACTAATATAACATACATATTTGTTAAACATGGGGAGCAAATGCTATCACTGCAAAGATCTTATAGGAAAAACACTGTGAGATCGTATTCTTATATAGCAAAGGTAGCTCTCTCTGATCAGGGTACTAGGAAAGGTTCCTCAATAGAGGAGGGCTGTGTCCCAGCCACCCTTCTTTAAACTGGCAGCTAGCTAAGTGGGTGGTCTGAGTACTTACATCCTTGCCACAGTCTCTTTTCTCTTGCTGGTGATAAAGTTTAATTGTCAGAAACAGGAATGATTTCAGTGGATCATCTATCCATTGCTATTTAGTGGCTCTCAGAAACAAAGGCTGAAAATTCATCATATGCAAAGAGCACAGAAGGAGAACTCAGGCTATGAGGGGTCCATCCATCAGCCATCCGACCCTGGACAAGTCAGGGACTGCCCTGAGCCCTAATTTTCTCATTCAGCCAATGATAATACCTGCCCTGCCTAGTGCATAAGATTGTTAAGAAAATTAAATGAGATAATGTCTGAGAACATACTCAGAAAGAGCTGCATAAGAGGGCACTTTCAGAGGGTCTTGAGGAATTTGAATTTCTTGGCACAGAGAAAGGCCTCAGGCTAAAATATTGATTACAGTTACAGTTAAATCAATTAATTGTATTTAAAATATACAAGTTTTAAAAATGTATAGTTCACTATCAAAGACATTGTAATCTAAATGGAAACAAAGATACACCTGTGATGTGCATACACTGCTTTTTGGAAAGGGGCTTTTTAAAAAAAGATTAGAGGCTTGAATTTGAATTCTGGCATCTGGACAAAAACAAGCAGAGGCCAAAATAACACTACCAAAAAAATTAAAGATCGTAAATATCTTTCCCCCTTATTACTCTAATTCAAAATAGCCTGGTAAGAGAGAGAGAAAAATTACATTTCCTCCTGAAAGGCTGGCCCCAATTAAAATTCTAAATGTCTCTTACACCAAGAGCACTGGTTTATTGGCAGATTATTAAGCCTTGGACCAATGTCACTCTGTTAGACCTGTATTAAAAACGTGGTTTATGCGGTGCAGGGTCAGATCAGTAAAGAGCTGTTAGCAGATGACAGGTTTGATTACCGCTGGCTGCAGGCAAGACGTATGGATCCCTGAGGAACAGCAGCACAGGCTGGTGGGACAGTTTGCTGGAAAGGTCAAGAACAGGCATGTCAGCATCAGGGGACGACGGTAAACAGAAAACACTACAAACTAGCTTTGAGGGGATCAAACTGCTGTGCGGGGATGTCTCGAGGTTTATGCATCTAACAGTGTGGGTGAATAATAGAATAATAGCAAACAGTTAGAGAGAGCAAACTAGCACTGTACTCCCCTTCCAAACCTCTCTTTGTGGAATTTGAAGCAGATAAACTATCCAGACAATAAATCATGGCTGCAAAGTGCTTTCTTAAAAATCTTGTAATACGATTACAGATAAAACATTCTTATTACTTGTGTGAAACAAGGTAGGGCTCTAACTCCTTCACTCTTAATTATAACTCGTTATTTCTCTAAGACCCTTTCAAATATTTATAATGTTAAAACCAATTTCATAACAAAGGTTTTCAAGAAAAACATGACCTGAAACACTTACACTGTGGGTGCCTGAACATTTACAAGACCACCGTCCTATCCCTGGTCTGTACAACCCCTGCTTGACTGGTGTTAGTTCTTACCTTGACTCTTCAGACTCTGTCTCATCAAAAGATCTAGAATTTTTGTAAAAGGGAAAAAAGAAGAAAAAGACTACATAAGCTGGGTCAATGTTTATGCCAACAAAGGAAAAAATAGCCAGTATTCTTAGAGCACTGAATTGGGAAACATTAAAAAAAAAAAGAGTTGTGAGTTTTCACTGAGCCGCAGAATGGCTCATGTCTCACCCTAAGGAATCTTTAGACTGGGATATTCTTGGGTTACATTTTCCTGAAGATCACTTAAAAATCTCAATGTTTGGCTGGGCGCGGTGGCTCACGCCTGTAATCCTAGCACTCTGGGAGGCCGAGGCGGGTGGATCACTCAAGGTCAGGAGTTCGAGACCAGCCTGAGCAAGAGCGAGACCTCGTCTCTACTAAAAAATAGAAAGAAATGATCTGGACAACTAAAAACATATATATATAGAAAAAATTAGCCGGGCGTGGTGGCGCATGCCTGTAGTCCCAGCTACTCGGGAGGCTGAGGCAGGAGGATTGCTTGAGCCCAGGAGTTTGAGGTTGCTGTCAGCTAGGCTGATGCCACGGCACTCACTCTAGCCCGGGCAACTAAGCGAGACTCTGTCTCAAAAAAAAAAAAAAAAAAAATCCCAATGTTTTATTACTACTTTGGGGCTTGTATAGTGGAGAAAAGATTCGCTCGCTGCCATTGCTTATATTTCTTCTAAAAACCACATAAACATATATGAAGCCTAACCTTCCAGTAAATGCAGACAAGTAGGAACAGGACACACTGAGCACACAGATTATTTAGGAAGTATAGTGTCTAATTCATGCTCTGGGGTGAGCGGGACATCATGGCCCCGAGTCAACAGCGCCGGTGCGGAGCACACAGGTGTTCGCAGCCTGTCATCCAGCAGACAGCTGGGCTTTAATGTGACTTTGGGAGTGGTCTGCAGGATGCTCTTGTAGTCAGTGTGGCTCCTCTAGGCGGGTCTGGAGGCAGTGAGAAAATAGGTAAAACCCTCTTCCCTGTTTGGGTTTTCAGAGAGTTTGTGATGACTTGTTTTTCCTTAAATGGGTTTACTATGCCAAGGATGCTGCTGACAACGGCCTCTGAGGCTAGCTCAGCCCAAGTCATGTATCCATTGCTGGGCAAGTGCTTGTTTCAGAGTTAATTCTTTGGGTGGTCTTTTCCCGATTGCTGGTGACATCAAAGCTCTGGTTCCTTGGTAGATAGAGATTAGGATCTGCCATTCTGGCATTAGAAGTTCCTGAGGGAGAGGCAGTGGAGGAAGAGGGCTCTTGCTGGAAGTCCTGGGTTCTGCCAGCTACAAGGCAAGAGATCTTAGGAAAGGCTCTTAATTCTTGTGTCTGTTTGCTCTGCTACAAAATGAGGGGAGTTAGATCAAATCATTTCTAAGGTCATTTATAGATTCCAAATTATATGAGTATATGTGCCAAGAAGATACGGACTTTGCTTGAGTATCAACAGATAAACAAATCAGACCCTAAACAGGCTACCTATACCCATAATTCCCACCATGTAACATCACTCTACGTAACAGCATAATTTAAAAGGTTGATTCCTTAAGTCTAAACATGAGTTACTGAGCCTCGGCCCCTTGGCCAAGACAGGGATGAGGACTTCAGAGGAATCCCTTTGAGCACAAGCAGGGGGCGAGCAAGCGCTGTCCCAGCCAACAGAATGGGCACGGCCAGGCCGGCCCTTCTGGCACCACTCTGGGCTATTTGTCAGGCCACCTGGTAATCGGTTATTGAAGAGTGACTTAAAATATGCGTCTAATATGTAAACGACGGTTCTTACCCACAACTTTCTGCCTTTGGTAGAGAGGGCAAGTGTCGCACATTTAGAAAATCAAGGAACAGTTTGGGAAGTTCTTCATTTTCTAAAATGACAGCCTGTGAAAACAGAAAACAGAATTAGAAACTGGAGTGAAGTTTGCTAGGCGATCAATCAAACGAACTATTTCGAAAAGTCATAACCGTCCATCAAAGTTCTTGCCAGCAACATTCCTCACAATCAATACGAGGAGTGGTCCCCATGTCGCCCACCAAGGGCTCGGGCTGACACACATGCTGTGCAGTGCCAGCAAATGCTGCATTTTATCTCCTTTCATTCAGCCAGCACCTACAGAGCACCTACTGCATGCCAGATGCTGACTAGGGGACAAGACAGTGGGGAACCAGTTAGATATGGTCCCTGCCTTCATGGAGATTCTAAGCCAGAGTGAGTATTTCAAAACCTGGAAACAGCAACAATACTGCTAAGATGTGTAAGTCAAATTTTCCTTACTGAGTGCTACAGTGGTCTGGGTGTGTGCGTGTGTGTGTGTGTGTGTGTGTGTGTGTGTGTGTGTGTCTGCGCCCACAGGAGACCACTGCTGATTAGGAAATACTATAAATGGTTTTTCTAACTGGAAGATTTAGTCAAGACCCCTCAGCTATCACCTGTTTCGGCATTAGGATCAAATGACATTTATTGCCATTTGGACAGCTCCACTTAAAGGGTCAGTAACAACTTTACCGCTGAAGTGTAAATCAGTGTATATACTGAAAAAAATCTATAGAGCTCTTCCATTTAGGGAGCTCTGCTCGATAGTTGGCATAACGGCATAACCACCTCAGTACTCAGAGATCCAAATACGCAGTTTCGAGGAGAAATCTGATGGAGAGCTACTGGGTCCACTTTCATATCTATGTATTTTAAACAATCTGGCAGAGTGTGTGAGCTGATTGCACATTTGCCACCTCCCTCTCTCCTTTTTTCCAAAGACAACATGAGAAAAGCATCAAAGAGTATATGAGAATCTCTCAAATTAACGTAACTATTCTTAAGGGTCATTTTTTTATAACTTCACATGGGTAAGTTTTGTCCACTGAGCACATGTTGTTTGAAGAGCAATGAGAATTGAATGATATTGCAATATCATTCACACAGCCGTTCAGGAACATTGCAAGCTCATGCACAAGTAACAAAAGCAAGGTCCAAATGATCTGTATCTTGTGTATACTCAGTTCTATATAACATCTTGTTTTTAGTCATGGTTTACATACTGAGTTGCCCCATTTCTCACCAGGTTTTGGAATATTGTCACCTGGTTCAGGACATATAAACGGGGTGAGTGACTGCCCAGGCTGCCAGTCCTCCCAGGGTGCCCTCTGTTCCACACTAGCGCACAGCCCTCTTGCCGACCTGTCCTAGGGAGGCTCATCCCGACAGCCAGATCTACAGGGGGCTGCTACTGTTCCTGACATAGCCCACCGTACCTACTGAGGCTTAAGGAATAAAAGAGAGAAGAAAAGTGGGGGTTACACATTATTCATTAAATAAATATTTACTGGGCATCTATTATGTCAGGCACTGGGATATGGTGGTGAATACAACTGGTCCACTGGAACATGGGCTGGTGGAGAAAACTAGTGATAAACGAGTAAATATACACACAAAACAACAACCTGAACTTGCCTTAGAATATACTGATACAGATACATACATTCTCTAAGTGTTTTCCCATCCATCCATCCCTCCCTGTGTGTGTGTGCGTGTGTGTTTACTTTTTTCCTGATTATAAAAATAGAAAAATGAAAAGTTTAGAAAAGAAAGAGAAAACAAATGCTTCTTCCCAGAAGCATAATTTCATTACTATTTCGGTTGAATTTCCTTAAATCATTTCACCTTCATCTAAATTTTTAGCTACCCAAGGAAATTTTTTGGGTGACCAGAGGTCATGATTTCCGTGCTCAGAACTCAGAAAGTTCTAAGAATCATCACACATATAAAACTCCAAGGTATTTTCATTATGATACAAGTTTCAATGATTATCCAGTTTTTCTAGATATCTGTTCAAGAGGATGATATAATACCTACTTGAATAATAAAGCTTAATGTTGTAACAAATATAGACCTCTTCCCCCAGGCAATAGTTTTAACTATCTGTACAAGTGGTAGCTTTCAGATTTTAAAAAAGAATGGGGGAGGGTATAACATTCTTATCTCCACCCCCACCTTTTTAAAATAAATTAAATCAATAACAAGTGTGGGACACTTTTAATGACCCGAACTACTTAATTTCCAGGATCTTTAGACATGTCATCCATCACGGCAGTATGGAGGAAGACATCTCTTGAGTGTTCAGGGGGTTACTTTGGTTTTATTAATGCAAGATTTAGGGAATTTTAACAAGGTGAATTGTTTATTTGCCTTGACAGATTGGCTTACAATGCACTGGCTACATCTACGGCATGATCATTAATGACAAAAGACAGGCAAAAAGCTGTTTACACTGCAACACAGGGACAGGAATTAATCCTGCTCAGCCTCTGCAAACAGGGTTCTCCAAATAGATGATCACATCGCTTTACGTAAGCTATACTGGCAAAAAGGAATATAGAGAACTCCAGAAATTTGTACTGATTTTTTGCTAAATTTTCACTGAATATTCTCAAATAGTATTTTCCATAGAACAATGACCAGTATGCATTTTAGCATTTAGTTATAAAGAAGGCAGCACTGGGAGTTAGTTACGCCTTCAGTTATGTGGACAGGACTGTTTCCCAAACCCTCTTTAAAAGCTTATAAGAAAAGATTAATACTTTATTCCAAACAGAGATGAAGTGTAATACCGTAGAATGTACCTATGTTAACATATCATGTACAAGTGAAACGACTGTCGTCAATTAGTGCGGACATACAAAAGAGGAGTTAAATCGGCTCAACCGAATCTTTCTGTTCATAAACACATGATCTCATTCACCAGACGCTGAGCAGCGACGTGGGGCCTCACCACATTCCATTCACCTCTTCTTCTGTTTCTTGAGAAGCTTTTGCTCGGGAGGAACCGCCCCTTCTTGAAGCTGCACCCTGGGTCACCTCATATACTTTGGACCCTAGTCTGGTTTAAATCACCTAACTTTATTCAACAGATAAGCTCTTAATTTTTAAAAACAAACCACAGTTTTGAATATCAAATCCTACTTCCCCATGGTTTTAGATTGTTTATCTTGATTTTTGATGAATCTTCAATGGTTAATCATTTTCATTCTTCAGAGAGGCTGTGTGGTATAGGAGGTATCTGGGCTTTAGAGAAAGACCTGGGTTTGAATCCCTTCTCCGTCTACCTTAAGGGTGGTTGTGAGGATTACATGAGATGTCTCCAAGAGTCCGTGAATACAGTTAGCATTCAATAGGTGTTAATTCTCTTTCCTTTGAGTATTTTTGTTATATTGATTCTCGACAACCTATTTCATTCATTGTGGAAGTTGAGATTTTTGTCCATCTGGTGAACAGAGCTTCTTAGCCCTCTATAATTCAGGGATTCTTTTGAAAATCAGATAAAAGCTGAGTATGTGCTTGCCAGAAAACACACACACGTATAATTGTGCTTTAGTGGCAGGAGGTCCACAGGCCCCTGATAGCCCAGCCCAGGACACCTGCTTTTAGCTCAGACCTGGCAGCAACACTGCTCGGCCTGCTTTTCTTTGGCCTGGAGCCCAGCGCACTGGTGGGCCTGGGCCTGGGCCCCCAAAGGGCACGCTGGCCGTCTTGTTTCACTCTCTCCCTCTTTTTCAATTAGAACCCGCTGGAGGGTGTGCTGCCTCATTATTAGAATTCGTTAATGCTTTCAGCTCTGCGCTGAGGTTGAAAATACTTGTCTGGCAGTGACACTACCACGGTAAAGGATTCTGTCTGATTAGACCAAAATCTACTGCTGCGCCGGCTCTAGAAAGTAATTCCTATTCATGGCTTCTGTGTGCTCTATATACCACTTGAAAATGCAACAATCAGTGGTGTGGAGGGTTCCCAAAGCTAACAAAATATTAGGGGAAACTCTATCGCTGCTGGGTCAGAGTCGAGCTGGTGGAGCTCTCGTGTGCTGCACCTGGCACGAGGGGGCATTTCGAACTGCAGGGTGGCAACGGGTCCCAGCCCCAGTGCTTCCTGACTGACGGCCTGATGGCTCAGTTCTGGCCCTGCTCATCCCACTCCTGGAGGCAAGTGGCACACATGGTCCAGCAACTAGTTTATGCAGTAAAACATCAGAGTTCAAAATGGAAGTGATAAGTTGGAGAAAGAGCTAGAAATAAATCTCATTACATTTTACAGGTATAGGTACCGAATGAGACATTGTAAGAGGCAGAATTATCCAGATGGAGAGTAGCTGTTTAACACAGGGGTCGGGGGTCTCAAGTGGTAAGTCACCAAGAAGTGCTGCTTCCACGAGGTGTCAAATAAGCTGAACAATCCTCTTACCCCACTTGCTGCAATGTTATCAAGCCCCCCGCCTCCCAAAAAAGAGAAATAAGAATAAACCCAGGAAGAGCTAGAGGCAAGCAATGAAAACAATTAAAAGATTTCAAAATAGTTTCCATAAAAAGAGGTCATCCAACAGCGGGTACCAAGCACAGAGTGTGGCAGTGGAGGGACAAGGGGACAGTGAACAAGTTAACTAACGGTTCTGTTAAGGAAGGTGGTGGCTGGTTAGCCAGCATTTTCAGAGCTGCTGGAATAAGAAGAAAGTATTGTCATAACCAGCAGGGAAGGAGTCTATCTTTAGATTGAAGCCAGTGCAATAAACTAGCAAAAGTGGCACAGGTATGGGAAGAGTAGGCATCAAAGAGTGTCTAAATACTCCGGGTTCTTTAATACACATGCAGATTGGAGATGCTGCAGAATTAACAGAAAAATGCACTAAAAAAATTTCTACCCAACTGGTCACTTAAGAATATATGTAGATGAGGCCATTGAGGTGGCTCACACCTGTAATCCTAGCACTCTGGGAGGCCGGGGCGGGAGGATCGCTTGAAGCTAGAAGTTTAAGACCAGTCTGAGCCAGACTGAGACCCCGTTGTTACTAAAAATAGAAAAATTAGCCCAGCCTTGTGGCGTACGCTTGTAGTCC